AAAACAGGAGTTGTGTATTCAGTATAGAATGGGGTGGAAATGTAAAAGATTTAAATTTTATAAGGTATAGTGATCAATGGTATCCCTCATCTTTTTTCTGTATTATTTAAAAAATGAAAGATGATTTTTTTAACTTTTATAAAAGTTACATGTTATCTAAAATTACATTTAAACTTTGCTAGACAAAAAGAAAACTACCAGGAATTTTTTTTTTTTTTTAAAAGATCTCATACTATCAGAAAATCACTATATCAATTCTAAGATTTGATTAGACATCAGTTTGTTATAAGACTGCAATTTATCTATTGTTGTGTATGACAGAATATGAAAGAGATGAAGGGGAGAGCTTTTGACTTTTTTTTTTCCTTCAGCATAGTTTAAAATATATATTATACAGGTCTTTTATCTATGTAGTGAATATAGGATTTTTACAGAAACCCAAGGTATTACATAGTAATAGTCATATAAACAGATTTGAACATTGTACATTTGATTAACATTTCATTCCTATCCTAAGAATTTGCACCTAATTTTTATAAAGTCTATAAGTTATTACACCATGTTTAAGTTATTGCATTACAGGACTCAAATCAGTAATCTCAATAATTAACTTTTATGCAGGAGTAAATGATCCAAAAAAAAAATAAAATCTATAGAAATATCTTATTGATTCTTCATCTGTGTACTTATGATGTGAAGTTTGTAAGTTACAAATTATTGTCAAAGAAGTCATCTCAATAATCTTATGCTTTGACCTTGACAAATTGTCCTAAACAACAAAGTGTATTACTCTAACCTGTTCTGTGTAGTAAGCATGAAGTCTATGGGATGATAGAAATATTCAAGATATTATTAAACCACAGATCAGGGGACACTTACATCTTTATGGGGGTCCAATTGAGACCTATTAAATTCAAAATTAAACATGATACATACACAAACAAAATATATTTACCATTCCCAGGAAAGTTAAATAAATACATTAAATCCAGTATCTGAATATCTGTGTAATTTCTAGGGGGTGTTGTAGAACTAAGATGAAAAGTAAAAGGTTTAAATGTGTAATTCCCATACATAACAACAGTCTTCAACATGAATTGGTAAAAAATAAAAGTCAGCTATAGATACTTTGAAGTTGGTGAGAATTAATTTTTAAAGAGTTCATGCTATTAGCATGATTAGAAAATCATGTTCTCAATACTTGATTTGACTAGATCTCAGTTTGATAAATGGGTACATCTTATCCATAGTCAGTGTCTGACAGTAAAATGATACAATCCTGTTACTTTGTCATCTTGTAAACCACAGTCTATGATAATACTGGTTAAATTCGTTGGAAATCATATTTATCTATGTGCTTCTTAAATCCTCCATCCATCTCCTGTTTGATTTTCTTGTTTCAGTGTTCCAAGAGAGGATATTCTGTTAGTCTTTGCATAATCTGATAGTCTTTCACCATTCTGAGAGTAGACATAGATCATTTCCATAAGCCCTCACTAGAGAATCCTGGAAAATAATAAAAAATAATATCTTAGTTAAAATTTTTTTTCAATGTAATATAAGCTTGATTGAAATCTAAATATAGACAAAAAGGGTATAAATACAAGTTGTAACATAAGATTTTTATGAATAAAGTGTCATGCTCCAAGGTATTATTTTTATAAACAGGAGAAGGTTTACACCAGTCCCATACACTCAAAAGAAGATCTTGGGTAGTAGAAACACCAGGGAATTTTATTTCCACACAATCAGATTATCTTACATCAGTTATAAGGTTACAGTCTTTATACATAGTTAAGAGGGTCATTAAGATTTCTTTTCTGGTCATCCTGATGTGCTACATTATAGTATTCTTTCCCTGTGATATAATGTTAATATTAAATGGGAAATTCAGAATTCATCAGCAATTGGAGTCAGAACTTGCTATCTTTACCAACTATGATATGCTATCTTCAGCTGTTAACTATCATTTGGCAAAGAAGAATTTCATACATTTTAGTTTAAAAAATTGATCATGCATTTTTGTATACCTCTTGAAATGGAGCTCTTCTTCTTCTTCTAAAGGAGATTAATATAGTTTAAACATGACCATGACCACCAAGCCCTGTTTATTTAAAAAATCATATATCATTTACTTATCAATTCCAAAATATAAACATGCATATGTAACAAAAAAAATAAATAAATAAATAAAAGTTACAATTGTATCTCATTGAAACTTTACCTTCAAGTTTGTGTGTTTCTATGTTGATTGACAAACTGTGTATTTCCAAAGGAAGACCAGCAGCCAGGCTTCACATCATAGAGAATGGATTATAGATGGTTAGGAACAAAACATATCTTCCAGGTTGAGAACTGTATAGAAAATAAAACCATTTTGTTAATATGACAGAGTACTGTGTGAAACAATGCATGTTTAAATACAACATGTACAATGCCAAAAAAAAGTTCATGAAAATGTTTGTTTTTAATCTCAAAACAAATTGTTTTTAACATTAACTCCAGATGAGAAAAATTCATCATGTTATCTTTAGATAATAAAAAAAAGCACAATTACTGTATTGATATCACAAATAAAATGATTATCAAATTAATTATTTAGTCACTAAAAGATTTTTTATTAACAACAGATTCAATTTTGTTTAATATCTGTCAGTACTGCATACAGAAAAATACATCTTTTTTAGCATCATCACAGTACAACATGTAGTCCTTCATTTTTTGAAAAGCTCATTACCAAGAAACAAAAGTGAAAATGAAAATATATGTATGCCATATATCCCACATATTTAGAATCAAAACAAAAAGTAAATAACTTAGGATTAATCTTTTGTAATTTCCTCCTTTTCTCTTATTAGATTCCTAATTAATATCTCTTTGATCACCATTTAGTAAGTCTGAATTCCATGGCCATGGGTAACATACATAATGAATTATGAAATTATATAATTTATACAAAAGGACTTAATAATATTCTGAAGATCCCTTAATCATGTGTTAATATATTTTAGGTTAAATAAGGGTGTGCTTATATGAATGTAAGTTAGAGATAACAGATCACATAAGTATTACACAGTAATTAAATTAACCATATAATCATGCTGAAATGCAAAGATGACCTTCATAGGAAAATGTAAACAAATAAAAAACAAGATAAACTTACCAGAGATATCCAACTATATGCCCAATAAGTCTATCCATTAAATAATCCAGTGAAATAACATCTCAGCTGATCCTGAAAAAAAATCATACAATTCAGTGATACACATTTAACCTCATTTTACAATGTAAGTAAAGCAAAGTAATTTACAGACAAAAGGGATAGAAAAACATGTTTAAATGTAATGCAAAATAATATCTCTTATATATGGATACCTATACTCTAATCATATTAAATGTCATTTGTAAAAATGTATCTTTTAAAAGACAGATTTATTTGAGGAGCGACTTTTTAAATGATAACATGAATAGCACGCCATACTTTCAGCACATGACAAAAACATTTTCTCAAATTACGCAGAAATGGGTTATTTAGCATAGCTGACATTAAACATATAGGTGAGGGATAACATAATCACAATTATAAACAATGTGAAACAACTTTAAAAGACCTACAAGGTAGATTACAAACCTTTTTCACTGGGGTAAAATCTTTGCCGAGATTCGACAATGGCCGCCTAATTTACATAGAAAATTACGGCGTACTTGGAGACATAAAAAGTTTTTAAAAAAGTGACCTGGTGTTATAACTTGAGAGAAACATACGTTTCTTGTTTTTTACCCACTGTATATGAAGGTAATCTTTTCTTTTTTGAACACACACAAACGTTTCTCTGACTGTTTATAAAAAAAGATCCTCTTTTTTCTAAGATACAATCGTTTCTTTGACTGTATTTTAGAAAAAAAAACATCTCTTTTTTTTTTTTCTTAGACACACACTGAACGTTTCTTTTTTGCCTGTATATGAAGGCATCTTTTCGAAACAATTGGGTGGTCCTTAAAAGGACCGTTGGGTTTAAAAAACACTTTTTGGTTAGTTTCTGCATTTTGTTGATTTTTTTGGTTTTTTCGTTGATTTTGTTGATTTTTTTGGTTTTTTCTGGAATTTTGTTTTCAAGGTCCCTACGCCAGGAGCTGCTGGACCAAGTGGCCTACCGACTGGTTGTCATCATCATCATCCGAAGAAGAACTATCTTCTCTTTGAAACTCTGACCTCCGGGAGAGGGGAACGGGAACACGGATCCCGTTCCTGCAGAGGGGGCAGCCCATCCCCTGTTCAACCACCCGCGCCGTACACAGCAAGCAGGAAGGCCGCTGGAGACACCGGCTGCAACAGTAATTATTTTCTTGGTCCTCTTGCATACACAAACTGCAATATATTCTCTCGACGCGGGCCCGGAACCCCCAGGTAGGGATCCGTCCCTGGTTCCGGGCTCTGGTCTGGGGGGCCGGAGCAGCAGCAGCACCACTAACAGCAGAACTGGATGACGGGGGCGGCGAACGGGATTGTTGCCTTGGTCTTCTTCGGATCCTGGTGTAGGGGGTACTTCTGGTCCTGCTCTGTGGCCGCTGGGCAAGTTGCACTCTGACCATATTGTATCGTGAGATTTCCACCCCATTGTCAAGTCTTCTCACAATGACAGTCGTCTCGATGGAAATCCCCGGAATCATGTAGAGCTCCTCATGAAAAATTGGGTCGGACATCTTGTTCTTCTTTCTTCTTCTTTTGTCTGTTACCAGAAAATCAGTCAGGAAAGAATGGCACTGAAATCACGGTGGGGCTGTATTTATTTACAATAGCAGACGATTCTTCAATCGCGGCAAAACATCAACAATTCAATCACGTGATTAAATGTGATTGGCTAAAAGAAAAAAATCGCTTTTGGTCATGTGATCAAAAAGACCCCCAGCACAGTGACAAAGCAAAATTGAAGTGGGGAAAAGGCCGAACCCGAGTGTATCTATGACGTCATATAATAAACATAACAGTGATATTTACATGATTTTTTATTTTCTTAAAAACTAAAGAAAAAAATTCTTAAACTGTAAAAAATCCTCCTCTAAAAATAGTATTTTGTATATGATATTCATTGCATCCAAGGGGTGTGGGGGGTCTAGTCATTCGTAGATTTTGAGGTTTTAGGTATTAAAAAAGTCACTGATTTCTTAACCTATGTGTGAAATTTCCCAGGTATTGAAATACATACTTTCTCCATCGCATCTATGTTCTATCACAGTAAAATTTTTTTTTATTCTCATTTTTATAGCCCACGCAGGTAAAACGTATATTTGCACAAGGTCCCTAAGTATTACCTGTGTACATAAACAAAACGTTGGTCTATCGTATTTTTGCACACGGCCCCTAAGTTTTTGCACACGGCCCTCTTTACAGGTGATGCAACAGGTATATAAAGCCTAGGTATTTTTGCACACGGCTCATAGCAGGTATATAAAGCAAAAAAACTGTCAAATTTGATCATTCTGCGTGAGCACTGAACACAGGTGAAATAGAAGCAAGGATGAATACTTCAGAAAATTCCCAGTATTATGTGACACCTGAAGGATACGTAGGAGCTCCCATGACAGAGACAATAAGGGATGCCATGGAATTGGATTTAAATTTGGACATGATTGAGGACATGAATAAAGAAGAAGATATGGGCATTTTAAACACCACTTTAGACGGAATTGTGAACATGTTATCTGCTCTGGATAACAAACTGAATGATATGAACACCAAGATGAATGATGTGGATAACAAGGTAAATAAAATGAACACCAAGGTGAGTGCTCTTGAAAACAAGCTGGATAAACTGAAATGTTACAACAGCCGTCGATTTTGTTACATGAGTGCACAATTATCCCCAATCACAAAGTCATTCAGGGGAAAAACAACAAAAAGGAAAGAAGAAGGAGGAAACATTGACCAGAAAAAAGAAGAAGGGACCCAGGGCGGATCAGGAGAGAGTCAGAAACAAATGGATCCATGCTATGTAATGGTAAAAGACATAGAGAAAAAACCTAGGGAAACTAAAAGGAAAAGACCCCTGACCATAGAGCCTTTGGAGGATGAGGAATTGCTGATGCTTCCCCTGCGAGAGCTCAAGCGTCGTTTGCAGGGAATGACAAAGGAGGAGATGAAGAAACTCAAACAAAAACGCAGGACATTAAAAAATAGAAGCTACATGCAAAAATCCAGATCAACAAAAAGAATGCAACAGGGTCAGTGTATTGGAGAAAACTACTAGATGATTAATTTGGAGGGTATTTTGGATTAAAAGACAAGCCTGATAAATGGTTGTATGTATTTTTTGTTAAATTTGTAAATTTCTTTTGTTTATTGGGAATAAAAATTGAAAATCAAAATCTGTGTTAGTTTCACTTTTTGTTTCTTGGAAATGAGGTTTTCCAAAAATGAAGCTAGACTGTGAATGCGTGACGTCATAATCACATTCTTGCAATGTTTTTTTGCACACGGCGCATTTTTTACCTGTATAGTCAGCATATTTTTTTTTTTTTTGCACAAGGTCCCCTGACTTGGCTCGCTGCCAAGTATTTACCTGTATAGTCAGCATATTTTTTTTTTTTTGCACAGGGATCTAAAACAAAAACTTGGCTCGCTGCCAAGTATTTTACCTGTGTCCATAAACAAAAAAAAAAGTAGTACCAACACACCAATGTAAACAATGTAAACAACTCCAGTATTTAAGGGGGATAGGTTAGGGTTAGTTAGGGGTTAGGGTTAGTTAGGGGGCTAGGGTTAGTTAGGGTTAGTTAGGGGGCTAGGGTTAGGGTTAGAGTTAGGGTTAGGGTTAGTTAGGGTTAGTTAGGGTTAGGGTTAGTTAGGGTTAGTTAGGGCTAGGGGGGTTAGGGTTAGGGGTTAGGGTTAGGGTTAGGGTTGTGGGGTTAGGGTTAGGGTTAGCACTCCACTCAGTTGACCCATTTTTTGAACCTCATTTGCATAAAAAGTGCACTCAGTTGAACTCGCCGGCTAGACGGTTTATACTACTTACAGCTAAATCTGTTAAGCAACAATCTCTAATTTTTTTTAACTCGTTGCATACATCATTGGGACAATGTAAGTAGATACTAAATATAAAATACATCTGTTTAAAATGAAAATTGAAGTTCGTAATTTGTAAAATCAAATTTTGCATAAATATTTCATCATAGGAAATAAAATCAAATTCAACTAGATATCATTGAGATGGTGGCCATCTCAAAGGGCCACGCTTTCAACAATGAACATGAAAATGTAAGGTAGTTTAAAAGGGTTTATTTTGAAGAGGAACGTATTTGTGTAATACAGTAAAAGTCATTTAGTACGACTTCACGGATATTGCAAATTTACAGATAGATATCGATATTTATCTTGTATCCCCAGTTATATAAATTTATTGGAATTAAAGGGAAAAAATTATGCACCAAACAAAGATTTTAAACAGAGAGGCTAATTCTGACCAAGACCTAGAAACTTCGACCAAGGTCACTGCACATCCACTGACCAGTGGAACTCTGTGAGTGAAGTAATAGCCATATTGGGCCAAAGATAGAGGAGATATGCTTCCGACAAGGATTTTCATAAAATTCTGCTATGACCTTGACCTTTGACCTTGAAACATGGTTCAAGGTCACTGAACACTGGTTACCCAAAGGCACACTGTGGGTGAAGTATGAGCCAGATTGGGCCAAGGAGAGAGAATATATGCTCCGGACAAGGATTTTTCATAAAATTCTGCTATGACCTTGAACTTTGACCTAGAAACATGGTTCAAATTAACTGCAGACCAGTTGCCCAAAGGCACTCTGTTGAAGAAGTATGAACCAGATAGGGCCAAGGAGAGAGAAGATATGCTCCAGACAAGGATTTTTCATATAATTCTGCTATGTCCTTGACCTAGAAACATGGTTCAAGGTCACTGCACACCGGATACCCAAAGGCACTCTGTGGGTGAAGTATGAACCAGATTGGACAAAGGAGAGAGAAGATATGCTCCGGACAAGGATTTTTCATAAAATTTTGCTATGATCTTGACCTTTGACCTAGAAACATGTTTCAAGGTCACTGCACACCAGTTACCCAAAGGCACTCTGTGGAAGAAGTATGAACCAGATAGGTCCAAGGAGAGAGATGATATGCTCCAAACAAGAATTTTTCATATAATTCTGCTATGACCTTTACCTAGAAACATGGTTCAAGGTCACTGCACACCGGTTACCCAAAGGCGCTCTGTGGGTGAAGTATGAGTCAGATTGGGCAAAGGAGAGAGAAGATACGCTCCTGACAAGGATTTTTCATAAAATTCTGCCGTGACCTTGACCTTGAAACATGGTTCAAGGTCACTGCACACCGGTTACCCAAAGGCACTCTGTGGGTGAAGTGTGAGCCAGATTGGGCAAAGGAGAGAGAAGATATGCTCCGGACAAGAAATCTCGGACGGACGGACGGACGGACAGACTGATTACTATAGGGCGCCCACCAAGCGGGGCCCTAATTAACAATTGTACTTTTCTTTTTCGCAAGCGTATATACATAATCCCCTTTTCCTGGTCATTACCGTCTTCCTTCGAAGACGGTATTGTATAGTTGAAGTTTCTGGCAGTCTTCGGACTATGCACTTCCTCTTTTTTGTGATTGGTAGAAAATGCATGATGAGAAAATTTTCAATTATTTCATTGGTTGAAATGCTGTTCAAGGCAAGGGAGATAACTTTCTGATGATCTTATTTTCGTACGACTTAACAATTTTGCAAGAT